AATAATTGAATTAAAACAATAGTTATGTCATGCTCAAAGCATGCACACTATGTTTATCTATGGTCCCGACTTTATGAAATAGATCAATTGAAAATATTCAATGATGCTCATTTCACAATTCCAAATCCTTATTGCAACTATAAGAATTCCAAATTCTTGTCACTGCTAGAAAGTGTTAGATTCTAAACTATCATGCATTGATTCTTTTGTAATGTCTAGGTACTAAAAGTTACAGAGACTTGACCAATGATATTACAAAATACTCCTTTTGGAGATTGTTACAAGACAATTCCATGGAAATGAAGTCTCAGATTCAAAGTACATTCCTTTTAACATCCTTCTCGCAGAAAAGTTTCTAATTTTCCAATCTTTTCCTCAACACCTAATAGGGAAACATTCCAGATTCTCTATACGATGACTTATTATAATAGACTCATTTCTATTCATAGTAATGTCAATATGTCCATTACTATACTTCCAACTGTCCTTAGGCGACCAATATTTAGCGAACCTTCGATTTTCCTTGACAATTGTTTAACCACTTTAGTCATATCCGGTTCTATTCCCTTTTCCCTCTAAATGCCCTAGGCATTTGGAAAATATAGAACACGATAATATTATAGCATATGCAATCGATCCCATACTAGAAGCATATGGGATACGATTCATAATGTCTAACATAAAGACATGATACTTAATTATTCTTTTGCTATAATATTTCTATTTGCCATGTTCTCAAAATTTAGATTATGAAGAGGGATGACGTAATCATAACCAAATTTATGAGAACACAATTAAACTTTCCATATATCGAATTTCCTTATGTTGAATCATTCCAACATAACATTCATATATATATATATATATATATATATATATATATATATATATATATATATATATATATATATATATATATATATATATATATTTGACTAAAATTCATTAAAAGCTCAATCTAAGTTTTTAGATTTGAAATGAAGTTTGAATTTCTCTCCCTTAATTATAGCAAAACAACTTTTTAAACCGTGCAACTTGCGATTTTAAACTTTTTTTCTATAATTGACATTGCTAGCTCCCAACATATAGCATAATAAATTATGCTCCCACTAGCATGATAATTATTATCTTACTTGCATAACACTTATGCTCCCACTAGCTTTGACATGTATCCAGAAATCAGTTGGACTTCTAGAAATCAATATTTTATTGACTTTCATTACCAAAGTTCAGATTTCTAATACAAGATGCTTTAATAAGACTTTATCTAAGATTCCCAAACTCATACGCCTTTTCTTAGATAGCTCACATGTGTGTTTAAACAATTTAAGACCTTACAACAATAAGTCTTAAATGTTTAGCCCTTTTTCCATTCCTTACAATTTGAATTATGAAAAGGGATGCCGTAATCATAATTGAATTTGAGAATGCAAATATCACAATTCTATCTCCTTAAAATCTACTTAGTGAAAGCGTTTCCTCACAACCATTTCCATGAATAAAAGAGAAACCTTATGAAACTTAGATTTTATGGTGTATGTGTTCGTATCCATGTGAATTTGTCAAACCATAATCATAAGACAAGGCTAGTGACAAATCCAAACTTATATGTACTAAACTTGTTCAATGTTAACTTCTTGACACTTGGTAGCACAAGGGCCTACCATGTCTTTCAAGTTGTCATGCAAACGATTGAGAACTCATAGGAGTCACATGCATAGTCAACTTTTAACTGGAATGGGCACAGAAACAATAATATGTCAACACGATAGGTAACAAACCTCAAGTCGTGTACTAGTGATTTATAATATGTTTACTCTCGATTAGTTCTTGAAACTTTTCAAGATTTTTAAGACTCCCACTGACCTCTTGACATATAAGATTCACTTTGTCAAGGAACTTTACTTGACAACTAGATATTCAAGAGTTAGTGTGGATTCTTATCAAGATAAACACTTCACACATTTGGTCTTAGTTGGTCTTCGTTTTATAAAAAACATCACCACTTACCAATTTTAAATTTACAAGAATAGAAAACATTTTACTCTACAATTGATAAGTGTTTTAAACCTTCTTAACATTATGTCACTCAAAACATGATCTTGGAGTGTTACTCTAAGACTCAATTTTGGAACAAAGTATGATTCATCTTTTAATTTAACCATTTCAACAATTCACAATTCTTCTTCTTAGTCAAACAAATTTACTAAGATGCCCTTAGAGGATCAATTATGATATGGTTTTTTATAATCATTAAGATGATAATAAAACATGATACTGAAGTACTCTCCAATGTTTCAGAATTATACTTAAATTTGTAAGCACAACCATATTTACTAAACTTTAGTAAATCATGATGAATATCCTTATCGTTCTTTGTGCTGGACCTGATCAGCACACAACTAAGTGTATCTGATCCCCTAGTCCTTCACTTGACTCACATATACATGTGAACAAGGAATTAGTCTTAATTTCCTAAAGATGAAAATTCTCATTCATCACACAGTACAAGTTGCATGATTCCAAGTTTCTATCCAACTGAAACTTGGTTGATGAGAATCTTTCCTAATTTAGTGAATGATGATACTAACATAAACGAAATAATCAAATCCATTTTCTGATATTGCTATCAATGGAATCATATAAACAACAATATTCACAAATGCCATTGTAAGGATACTTCAAATAAAAAAAACTTTTCTTTATTTTTGAAATATTTTGCGAAAAAACTTATCTGTACAATGGAAATACATATGAAAAATATGTTGTTATCTATTCCTAAGAAATCTATCATACGTCTTAAGCAGTAGCTCAAAATTCTGATAATCGAAGCATGCGATTGAAATCCATCTCTGAACGATCTGAATCAGCTTACTCTTTCTTTAAGTTTCCTTCGATTATCCAAAACATCAAAATGTAATTACATTACATTATGTATTAAGAATCTCAACATAGGAACTTAATAGAGTTAGATAGTGGAATTTACCTAAAGCAAAGTCAAACTTTTTGACTTTTACCATCCTTATGGACTTTCAGGTAAATTTGGCAGCTTTGCAACCAATGCCCCTTCTTTTGGCAAAAGAAACATATGGACTTTTTGGGAATGGTACACGAGACTATCTCAGAGTTAGCCTTTCTCTTTACCATTGGGTACAACGACTTGACCATGGCTGATCCCTTTCCACTGGGAAGAGAAAGCTTTTCTGGATTTCTAATGTTACCATTGTCAATGAACTTGATACATCAAAGAGATTGCAAAAAGTTAGATAATTTTGGATCCATGACCTTCCTTCCAATCAAGGAACCTTCAATCTTCAAAGCTTCCTTCACAATGAGCAAAACACCCACTAAAACCTCTCAAGGGTTCAAGAACACCACCAAGAAAGCTTAAGGGATGATTTAGGGTTTAAGGAGGTTTGGGGGCTAGTAAAGAGGCCATCCATAAGGTCTTAAGGTGTTTATATATGGTACAACACAAATAAATTAGGGTTTCATGAATTCCTCGTACGCCCAACGTACGAGGCCGAAGCTTCGCGATCCAATTGCTGACTACGCTCATCGTATGCCAAGGTACGCCCCGCGAAAGGGCCCTCGCAAGAGTACGCCTTGCATACTCCCTATATACGCCTCACGTACTAGGGTTTTTCCCAAAACCCTTAATTCTTCTGAAGGCCATAACTTCTTCATTATATATTTGTTTCTGAAGATCCTTATTACCATGAAAAGGCAACGAGAAGCTCTACACTTTTATTATCTCAAAATTGCCATAAAGTTTCCAGAATAGAAATCCAATTTCCATAAAAGTTCGAGCTGACATTTACTAAAATAGGTCCAAATCTCATTTGCATTTTTATCATCTAGATTTACATCACCCATATCCAAAATAGGTCCATATCTCATTTCCTCAACGGTTTTAAGCCTGATAATTCCCGATCTTTGGTCACCACCTCGAAATAGGAAACGATTCGGAACATGGTGTTACACAAAATCAATTATGTCAATGTAAATTAACAAGTATGGGTATGTAAATTAAGAACAAATTCAAAGTACAACTAACTTGGGTCAGTCGATTGGAATAATAACATACTAAGGATAGGAAGCATGGCTAGTTTAACCATCAAGAATATGTAAGAATAAGATCACATATCATTGAAACATACTAAGGACAGGAAGCATGGCCAGTTTAATCAGTGTTGATTGTAGGCAATGCTTATTTTACTAATATGCAGTAGGGTTGGTGTGTGAAGGTTATGACGTGGTTTTGAAAAACCAATTCACAATTTTTGAGGTTTTTGTTTATAAAATCGATTGTGTGAAGCTCTTTTCTAAAATCAGATTCATTCGATCAACATGTAGGGTTGACAATTAGGTGGGTGACTCTAGGGCAAGAGGCCAGAGATGGAGTTTAACTAGAATTACATTTTTTACATCGCCGGATAAGACACTGTCCTTCCGGAAAGAAGAATAGTGGACAAGATAGGGTTACTGTTTGCATGCATTCTAGTTGGAAAAGTGGTGGTATATGGGTTAACGGGTCCCATTGAATTAATCATATTATTTAATTAGAAAACAATAAAAAAAACTTTAATTTAAATAAAAAAGATATAACTGTCTTGTTATCTTTGTTAGCGATCAACCGCGCAACAAAACTATATAGATCCGGGTTAATAAAATAACACTCAAGTTATCCCAAAATATAGATATCATTCAGATAATTTACTCTTTATTAAATTGATTATTATTTTGTGATTTATGTTAAAAAGTTGACATCAACTAACCTTTTAAATCATTTTAGTGCTTAAATAACCCTCAAATAGAGTACAATGAAATTACTATCATGCTTAAATTTTCTCAACCATCAAACTTCAATACAAAACTATATTCTTGTGTTTTTGTATTTATGCAAACATGGTGTTTGTTTCGAAACACAATAGCAAGTAATATTAATTGAAAAAAGAAACGAAGTCCACAAGCATTCGCTAAAAGACCCTACATTACACTTACGGAAAACCGTTGACTGAAGATCCTCCATCAACAGCAATGGTTTGCCCAGTGATGTAAGAAGCAGCAGGTAAGCAAAGGAAGGCGACTAGAGATGAAACCTCATTGGCTTCCGCAATGCGTTTCATAGGAGTTCTTGACACCACAGCATCCACAAACTCCTTACCATCAGCACCCTACAAATACTAAACAAAGATACGTACACGAATCCACCATTAATTATCAATCAGTACACACAAAAAAAAAGGAAGATGAACAAGATCAATTACATTTTCAATAAGGGAGGTTTTAGTGAACCATGGTGCTACACAATTACTCCGAATGTTATCTTCAGCCCATTCACAGGCTAAATTCTTTGTAAGCTGATTCATTGCACCTGTACATGTAAACCAGACATCAGATACACATATAGAGTTGCACGTTGGGACAAATTAACCATACCTTTAGTAGCACTGTAAACAGACCCAACAGAAACATGAACCAGACCTGCAACAGATGAAATGAACACAATGTTTCCCACTCCAGAAGCCTTTAAAAGAGGATGTGCAAGTTGAGACATATGGTAATAAGATTCGAAATTGGTTCCCATAAGCGTTGAGTATTCTTCTGCTGTATACTCTATAGTAGGTTTCACTATACTAATCCCAACGTTGTTTATTTACAGGAAACATTTATGTTATTGTTATGGAAGTAAGTGTTCTGATAACTGCTCAAGTTAAAAAAAAAAAAAAACGTGAGTATTGGGCAACAATGGAAGAAGTCAAGAACTTACAAGGATGTTGAGCTTGCCACCGAAAAGAGACGAAACTTTTTCAACGAGGTGTTCCCGTTGGGGACGAGAAGATAAGTCGCAGACAGATCCAGTGACGATGAAGCCCTTCTCCGACCATTCTTGTAAGCGTTTATTGAGTTCAGACTCGTTACGTGAGCATGTGTGTACTCTTGCCCCTAACTCAGCGAGTTCCTCCACCACAGCATAGCCGATTCCACGAGTACCACCGGTGACCAGAGCACTCATTCCAGCTAGCGACCATCTGGAATTTCCGACGACGTGACTGGAGAAGCTTGCCGGTATCGAGGTCATGCTTCAAGTGTGTAGGTTATTTCCTTTCGATGTCAGTGATAATCACATTAACCCAACCAAGCAGCAAATTAACCATTATTTTTGTTTGCGAAATTAACTCCAAAGGCACGGCATCACACGGTGTTCATGCACAATGACACATTCAAATAGTGTGTAATGTTTACCAGCCGCAAAATGGGTATTATATGTATAATACTAGGGATATTTTTCGGGCCATGCTTAGCATGACCCACGGTGGTTTCTAATGTCAAAGACGGGTATGGTGTCGATAGAACAAAATCAAGTATGATGCTACAATACACAAATAATTACTGAAATTATATTCGTCGTAATAGAAGGTTTAAGTACAACCATGGAATCAGTAGAAGTCGAAAGTACAACTCCTATGTACAAATGAAATTTTCAAAATACAATGCCTTAATGAAATCTTGAAAGCATAATGACTTAATAGGTAGAAATAAGTGTTATAATACATAAAAAACAATCAGAAGCTCCCATTCCAGGCCATTTCCATTTGGGTCCTTAGAGTTGTCTCCTGTCCAATTACGACAAGGTAAACAAATTAGAGCATAATGAATTAATTATATATGAAATCAGTAAATTGTGAAAAATTTTACCACTTGATGAAAAGTTTGTAATATCTTCAACCACAAAGGAATGGGAACACTCATAAAAGTAATGTTAAATAGCTTTGAAACAATGTTGAAAATTGATAGAATCCAAATGTACATAGCCTCTTAATGATACATATTTTTCATTCTATAACATAATATATATATATATATATATATATATATATATATATATATATATATATATATATATATATATATATATATATATATATATATATATATATATAAGAAAATGTTGAGTGTACTAAAACCCTGAGTTATATTACATAATTTGCTAATGTAAGCTTTCTTTATTAAAAGGGCTAAAGATTTAAAGGACTACCCCGTGAGTGATGTTAATGGATGTGCAATACATACCTGAGCATGAACTTGATTTAGAATCATGCTATTCTTAATTTCTATAGAATCGACTTGAAGCACCATGATAAGAAAATGAAGATCAAATATAGAATTAGATATTTAATAAAGGAAAATTTGACAGAAAAACGTAAAGACCTCATAATGATTGTTTTTATGTGATCTTTGACTAATAGTAAAAAAATAAAATATCTTATGATAACAACGATTAAAATAACAACAAATAATTTAAAAAGGTAATGTAAGTGTAGTGAGTTTGAAATAAGTAGTTTAAGATTGTTTTTGGCCAAAAATCCTATACGGGAAACTAAAAAAAAACTAATATAATAAAAGTATAAAACAACTAAACAATATAGACATCATGGTATATAAAAACATCAAAGTAGCATAAATAAAATGATCAAAAACGGACTTGGTTACTAATGATTTTATTCTTAATGAAGAAATGATTGTGTTGGACATTTGTCATGCTGACCACAAAATAATCTCAAATACCATGCCAATTAGCTTCAATGAAAGGCATAGAAGCTTGGGATGTGGTAGAAGCCTTGCAAAGTATGTTTAATGATAATGAAGGTCGTTAAGGTATTTTAGCAATATCCACTCTTAGAATGGCTGGCAAAGTAAGTGATTTATTCTTTTTGAGTTATTTTATTTTATTAATTTACACTCTTTTTATGCACTTGATATTCTTGAATATATCATTGTGCTTTAGAAAATTAGAATCTATAAATAGGTTCCGAAAATAAATTTGATATCAAGGTATTGAACTATTGAATGTTCTTAATAAGGAAAATTTTGGGATAATTAATTTTGCTTACTTCTGTTTCATGATGAAGCTGAGAAATGTGAAATGGATGCCAAGGTGCTTGTATATGATCTTTCATATCATAAAGGGAGCTAATTCCTGAAGATTTGTAAAACACATATGGGAAGTATAGTTTTCATAATAATTATGGTTGAGGAATTTTAACAAACAACTTATATGCTTACCAAAAAAAATAATCATTGCATCATGAGAAATTAAATTGCCTCCTACCTTTTATTCCTATAATTATTCCTACCCACTAAAATTATGACAAATCATCATTCAATTTAATTGTATTTGATATATTCCTAATATAATCTTAATGATTTAGTTTAAAAAATATGGAAAGATGACACTTGTCATAATTTTATTTGGTAGGAACATTTGTATTTCGATGTTAGGGAGGCAGGTCGACGACGTGGTGGATTAAGGGAGGACAAAGGACGATGTATAGCGGCACTGTCCCAAGCCACAGTTGTATTCATACCATAGGAAGAAGACGATTTTGGAGCGGTGGCTTTTGAGAGAGAATGAACAAAAGAGAGAGAATAAGAAGGTAGAGACAGTGATATCTTGAGGAGTAAGCACCAGAGATAAACCTGAAGGGTTTCTTGGGAGACGGGAGCATCATCGGTGGTGGACGACAACTTTTCTTAAGCATCTACAGCAGCCACATGTTTAGCTCCGTGGAAGGTGTGCATCGGTGGAGAAAGGCGGTGAAATAGGCGATTGAACTTCACTGAAAAATGCTACTCTCATTTTCACGCGCTAAAGGAGAGGGGTAAGTGAAATGCACGCAATCTTCTTATGCAAAGAAGGTTTTTGTATATAATAATGATATTATATTTCTAATAAATAAAATCTATGCATAATGTATTATTCTAAATCTTATTATATTTCCTGTAGTAATTTATGTTTAATAGAATATATCTACGTGCGTAAGTGATAGGGGTGAGCAAAAACCGAACCGACTAAAGAAAAACCGATAAAACCGCAATAAACCGCAACCGAAACACCGAAACCGATGCAAAAACCAATGATACGGATTTAATTTTTGCAAAAACCGAAGGTCAACGGTGCGGTGCGGTTTCTATCCTAAAAACCGGTCCATCAAAACCGAACCGCATCGCAAGCGTGTATAATAATAAATCAATCAATGTTTATTATATACATTCTATTTAAAATAGTTATAAACGATAATATATTTATTATATGTTTATTTTGTGTTTGTATGAAACTATATGGCGTGCAAAAGAAATGTTCTATTGTTAGCCAAACGTACTAATCGATTACATGTAATAAGCTTGTAACAAATTAAGTCAAAATCAACCAACCTTCAATCATTAATTAGTTTGTGAGAGTAGTCACAAGTTGTATTTTAAGCGACTTACAATTTTTGATTATGTAATTTTGTTTTGAGCTGAAAATGAATGTATTAAAAAAAACAGCACAATACAAGCTTATATGCACATGGTTTTCAGTTCTTACAGTTTTAAAAAACCGCACAAAAAAACATAAAAAAAACTGCACCAAATTCTTAACACGGTTTAAAAACCGAAACCGCACCGATACAAACCGAAACCGCATTTAAAAACCGAAAAACCGAACCATTGCAAAACCGCACCCAACGGTTTTAAAAATGCAAAAACCGCACCATGCGGTTTGCGGTTCAGTTTAGTCTGAAAACCGCACCATGCTCACCTCTACTAAGTGAGCTATGCTTCTCGTGATTTATTCCAAATCGACTTGCTAATTAAAGTTCAACTCAAGATCATGTTAAATGCTATTGAGCTCCTTTGTTAAAGGAGCTCATTCCTAAATAAGCACGGTTAAAATCACGATAAGACTCTAAATTAGATATTAAAACACTAAGAAACTAATTTATAACGGGTAGAAACCAGGGTAAAAAATATAAAAATAATTTTAATTAAATTTTAACTTAACTATTGAGCAACAATAATAATAAATTTAATAGCTAATAAATATATAATGATTGGTTGAAATTACAAAAACATAATATGTTTAATAAAATCATAATAAATATATAACCACTTATGATCACTATATATAAACATATTTGAAAAAAGAATAATGCATATAAATCATTTTATTAAATATAAAACTAATGAGTTTGTATTAAACATTATGATATTTAATGTTTTTAAAAAAGTTATATAAAAACTTCATATAATTACTTAATATACATATTTTATTAACATATGATAATAACAATATTAATATGATATAACATCATAAAGCAACTCATATAACTTCAAAAGAAAATAAAGAGGACGTACATGATTTTGAATTAAGCAAGAAAAGATAAAAACGTTTGTTTTGATTAACTGTAAAAAATAATTAAAAATATTCTTATGTTAAAACCAAAATAATAATAAAAACTAACCAAAACGAATGAATAACTCATGTTTATTTTTAGCTTTTTTACTTGTTTTCTTTTCCCCAAAATGTGAAATTGGAAAAAGCCATTTCTTTCTTCTCTTCTTAGCAATACGCATGTACGCACCGTAAGGACAAAATCACACCACCGTTCTTCAATTGATGGTTGGTAAAAGTTCAGAGCAGATGTTCGTTTCTCTCTTCACTCATTTTGAATCGGCATGAGTGAAAGAGTAAGAAAGTGCAACGGAGAAAACTCTATGATCGTTCCTTATTCTCGTTCATGATGGCTTGTTTCCTGGGAGGGTGCTACATGAGCAATCATTGGCGGCGGTACTGAGTAGGTGGTGATGGTTTTGCAGTGTTGTTGTTGGGTGTTAGATGAAGGCTAGTTATTGTAGAAACCCTAGTATATTGCTTATATGTTACCAGTCCATCATAATCTAATTCTTGATTTCATCTGGCAACGCTTCTTCGAGGTCAGTGCTAAAAACATTTTTGTAGCATTACATCATTATCCCCTTCTTCATTTCTATATCATCTGATTAGATTTAAATAAAATTGAATAGCTGAATACTTAGCTTGATTCGATCAATATTTAATTACTATAAACATAAATGAATTAGGGGTGTTTGGATGTACTATTTGAAATCGATTATAACAACTTTCTATTTTATTTGAGCTCCCTTAACTTCATTGATAATATTTTAAGTTTGAACATTTTCATAGATCCTTCTTAAATATTAAATTGTTGGGATTTGTTTGTTTGTCTGTATGTCCATAGAGTAATCAAACATTCATCTATATATTTATTACCTAATGTTCTATGAATTGATTCTTT